TCCACTTCTGTAACAAAGGCTAAAAGGTGCAAACGAACAAAGCTTGTTTGGGCTTAATCTAAGTCCATTATTCCTTGCATCATCTCTTCAAACTTCATATAAAAGTTGGTAATTCTACTTTCTAATAGAGTCATTAGTTCTACAGCTCTGGGAGAGAATTCCATTTTCTGTGGGATCTGATTTTTGTGAGATGCTCTTTTGCACCACTCTTTCTTTTGTCTTGTACCTGTAGCTTCTTTTCCTGCGCTCTCTTTTATCCTGCCGAAGATCCCTCTTATGTAATCGGGGTTAAGGGGGAGGGGGTGCACACCATGGTAAAATTCGCGTGAAAAACCGCAAGGCCTCATTACTCTAAAGTATTATGCTTCTCCTCCACATTTTTTTTTTTTTTTTTTCTGTGCCTATTCTGCATGTGCTTCGCACGCCATTGGCGCTTTGCTCTCCTCTTCTTCTTCATTGGACGGTTTGGATGGACTTCGCTGTTCTTTCCCAACTAAAATAGAAAAGGTTGTTTCACATTGAGATGTCGATCATTTTTCGCCCCCAATGAGATGGGGAATTTGTAACCCCCTAATCCTAACGTTCCAAAATTTTATTGGACTTAAAATCCAAACACCTATAACCTTACGTATTCGAACTAGTGTGAGCTTATAAAATTGTAATCGTTCGGACAATTGTAATGAAGTGTAAGACTACTTCTAGACTTTTTTCTCTGCCTTAGGGATCAAGACTTAACTAATTTCCAATCAAGCAACTTAATGAACTAGGATTTGGGAAAGAATGACTAGGATTAACAATAAGAAAAGTGAGTGACAAATGTACTTGTGCAAACTATTGTACTCTGCATTAATCAAAAAATGAAGATCACTGGAGTAATGGTTTACATGGTAAAAGAAATTTGCAAAATAAATGAAGTAAAGGAAAGACTAAGTTTATGCATTGTTGTGTTGATCAAGAGATCTTCTCTATAACATCTTTTTTGTATTTACTAGCAATGGGCCGTGTGTATTGCACGTGATTTTTTTTTGTTGAAACATTTAATAAAACACATAAAAAAATCTAATAATGTAGCAAAAATTATATATTATCTTATATTTATCATACTTAAATTATTTGTATTTTCTTCAAAACTATAAACATCTAATAGACTCATTTTCTGTATTCTTTATTCGAGCTACTAAGTAATAAAGGTTATAACTTTTTCTTTTGTCGATTTATTTTTTTCTTGACTTTCTTGTTTTTACTTTGTGCCTCAATAGTTTTTTACTAATTTTTTTTTGATTGTGAATGAAGAGAAAAGCTATATATATATACTAGTTATTGCCTGTGTCTGAGGCATATAGTAATAAAAAATGGTAAAAAATAAACATATTTGTGATTTGTATCCAAAATCAAATCACAAACATAGAAAAGAAATAAAAAAATTTAAGTATCAATTTGTAATGGGGGTGAGAGGTGGTTGGTAGCAGTGGTGGTGGTAGGAAACGGTGATAGTTGTGGTGGGTGGCAATGACCAGGGTGGCAGTGGTGGTTATGGAGGCGGTGGCGGTGGTGGTAGAGGGAGTGGTGGGGCGATTTCAAATACTATTTCTTTTTTAAAATATTTATGAAAAATAATTTTTAAAAGTATTTTTAAAAAATCACTCCAAACACACCCTTAGAGACCTATTTTTCTTATTAAATTTAGGGTGTTAATATTAGCTGTTAGATTAACTTTAAAATAAAATTTAAAACGATCTCAACCGCGAATAGTAAAAGTCATTTTGTTTATTTTTTGAGATTTGAATTGTAAGTTACTTTATTATATAAAATATATATACATATACATTTTTGGGCATTGGAATTGATATTGTATCAATGAAGTTATAGATGTTTTGAAAAAAAAATAACATTTTTTTATATATTATATTAACCATAACATGACCATTCAAAAGTTTTGCATAGATGGAGAAATATACATGATTTATTAGAGATTAATTTGTTATTTAAATACATAGAGATATAATAATAATTTGAATATTTAAATACAAAGGACATGTTAGCCTTTATAGTTTTTTATAAAGGCTAAATAGTAAATTAAAATTTTTTCATACTAAGGTACTTTTATTAGTAGTATATATATATATATATATATATATATATATACGGATGACCTTTAACTGTTGAGACTATCTGTTTTGGCCATAACTGCAATCATGGCCTCTTTCCCTGATACTCTCAGATATGTACTGAACTGTTTCCAATTGACAGTTTATGATGCCACATCCTTACGTTTTTTAAGATTTATGAAGTCCTATTCTCTCAACCATCTTGCTGAATTCTCTCTAACTTTATCTCAACCGTTATATCTTTGTCACATGTCGTTCATAAATTTTAATATTTGGGTGTAATCAAGGGGTTGTATTGACAAATCCCATTGAATATCCAATGCATAACATTCTACGACACTATTTGATGCACAACTTTTATAAAAGAAAGAAATTACCACTAGAAAACCTTAGGAACAAGGGGTCCTATTTCGTCCTAAAGTTCAAAGGGACTTCTGCTTCATAGAGGGACAATCGTAAACTTCGTAGCGAAAGGTGTTTCTCCCCATCAATCCAAGAGGTACTTTTTTTTTTGTTTTTTGTTATAGAGTGTTTAAATTTGTACTAATTACTCCCTCAAGTTTTGAGTCATTTATCATAACTCGATTTAATTTAAAGATATATCAACCAAGAAATAAAGATGATTAACCCTTAAAAAATATAAGAAATATCAAACTAAAGACTTCTTATTTACGAAAAGAAGACTTAACCACAGAACTCATTGTCCAAGAGACACCTGTGTATGGCGCAAACACAAAACAAAAATCATTGGCCAGGTTGTGAAGATAATGCAGGCCAGTCAGTAGTGGCACCCACTTTTGATAGTCTTCTTATTTTTATTTTTCATTTGTTGATCGATCATCAACTTTTGATTGCATGACAAAACAATCATGTCATATAATTGACTAGAAAACCTTCTTTATTATTATTATTATTATTATTCATAAAATTTCTTTTGTGGAAAACTCTTTTATTATATGCTTGATTAGGTGGAATTTTTATGCTCTCAATTTAGGTTTATATCTCATTTAATTGGTCGCAAAATGAAAATTAAATGATTTAAATTTGACAAACTTTACGTGCAAATGACAAGACGCTATTGAGGACCAAAGTGAAGTGATCTNAAACTCTTTTATTATATGCTTGATTAGGTGGAATTTTTATGCTCTCAATTTAGGTTTTTATCTCATTTAATTGGTCGCAAAATGAAAATTAAATAATTTAAATTTGACAAACTTTACGTGCAAATGACAAGACGCTATTGAGGACCAAAGTGAAGTGATCAAATACTAGTCGTTCAATTCTTATCTTGCACGCGTTTTGAGATGTTGCCACCATCTCAATCCTCCACTAAATTTACTTGCAGCACTCAATCCGCCGCCGCTGCCACTTAAACCCCACCTGCAAGGTCGCACCCACTCAAGTTCATGCCCAACAACCAAGCCGCCACCGCCAACTAAATCCTCCACTAACCAAATTCACCGATGACACCCCAAGTCGCTACTGTTAAGTTCAAAGTGTCATGAGCTCCAACTATCCACAGGTCTTAGAATTTTTGGATCAAATTGGGTTCATAACATTTAGTATCAAAGTAGACATAACTTCGTGAGTTCAAATTACGGAAATAACAACTTATAAACCAAAATAAAATGTCTTAGTATTATTTATGGGTTTAGTGCTATTGCGTTGAATACTTATAGGAGAGTGGAATCGCCAAAGAGAAATAACTGCCGTTAGACTAGTGTCTATAACGTGAATTGCGGTGAGCTTCAAGTGTAAATATAATAAAATTTTACATTCAAATAATTATGAATTTTAACCTCCATAAATCCGAGAGTTTTTGAATCAACGATCAAGTTTATAACAACTACCTAAGTCCACCATTGTTGCCCACGTCGCATGCAAGCCACCGTCAAAATCACCCGGTCCACGGCAGGGGTAGAGCCCCCATCTTAAATTTGATTAAAGTTTAGATTAAAAAGTTGACAGAAATAAAAGGGCTCAAGTGATAATCCTTAGGGATCTAAACATAAATAACCCAAACAGAAGTAGGATGATGATGATGTCATTACCACCCTTTCCTTCAGTCTTGGACAAATTAATCATATCATATTATTGTCCTATAAAACCTCCCCCATAAACTTTCCGGAGAGAGACAAAACCTTCCCCAGGTACCAATTACTAATATAAATCAGCTTATTATTACATAATTATATAAAAATTAATAATAAAAAATTGTAGGTTATTATGAAAATATCGGTTATTTTTTATTTTTTATATTCGACATATTTATATTTATTGTTTTGCTGAGATCCACTAACAAAACGTGTCGCGTGGAATAACTAAGGGAGAAACGAACGACCGACCGACCGTGATCACTCTCTCTCCAACTTAGGAAAGAGAGAGAGAGAGAGAGAGAGAAGGAGAGAGAAGATAGAGAATTGAGATGGTTATCGAATTTGTTTTATGTGGAATAACTAAACGGATTTGATCAAAAAACAAAGAATAACTAAACGGAGACACGAACGAATGACCGCGACCCCTCTCTCTCTCCAGTTTAGGAAAGAGAGAGAGAGAAGATGGTTATCGAATTTGTTTTATCTCTGTTAATATTTCAGGGAAAGCTCAGCCTCTGAAACCTCTTCAAACCTCAGGGTCTGCACAAAGGGCGTCTCTTTTTCTTATACATCTTTCAATTCTCCGGAAATTATAACCTCGTTCAATTAACTTCCTTCGGTTTATTGGGTTGGGTTTGAATTATCAAATTTCAGGATTTTATCGTTTTTGCTTTATTGGGTTTGTGGATTATGAGGCTGAAGATTGATTGGCTTTTGAACGAAAGAAGCCACTTGAGATTTTGATAGAGATAAAAATGATTTCGGTTTTTCTTGGTTCTTTCAAGTAACAGATTCTGTATAGTCAAATTCCATTGCTTGGCTTCACGCGTAAATGAAGTTTTTAGTTGGTTTTGTGGTTGAAACTAGTTGGATTTTAATCTGAATCCAACTTCTGAATTTGATCCGGGATAGCTATAAAGAAAGGGTTGTTGTTCATTTGTTTCAATTCACAGACTTTGAAGCACCAGATTTGATTGTCTTGCCTCATAAGTTTGTGAAGTTTTTAACTGGGTCTGCGGTTGAAAATTTTATTGTCTTGCTTCTTATGCATGTGTGTATGCGAAGGTTTTAACTGGGTTTTTGGTAGAAAGTTGATTGGTTCTGAGCTGAACAGAGATAGCCATAAGGAACTCCGAATTATCAGATTTCACTGTTTTGCTTATTGGGTATTTCCATCTGGGTTTGTGTTTCTCAGGTCGAAAACGGGTGGAATGTGGGCTGAATCCACTTTGGAATTTCGGAGGCAGCAACTTCTAGAGTCCAGCAACTTCTAGAATCCAATCTATCTTTATACATACATAAGTACTTGTTCTTCTATTGTTCTATTCTCAATTCCGGCTCAAAATGCTTAGTTTCAGCTCTTCATTTAATTGTCATGTCGGTGGGTTCAACACTTGGTTCAATTTGTACAGCATTTGAGTTGAGTATCCAATTTGTTGAATTGGGCTTGATTTTGGGACTTAATTTCTGTGNACTATAAAGAAAGGGTTGTTGTTCATTTGTTTCAATTCACAGACTTTGAAGCACCAGATTTGATTGTCTTGCCTCATAAGTTTGTGAAGTTTTTAACTGGGTCTGCGGTTGAAAATTTTATTGTCTTGCTTCTTATGCATGTGTGTATGCGAAGGTTTTAACTGGGTTTTTGGTAGAAAGTTGATTGGTTTTGAGCTGAACAGAGATAGCCATAAGGAACTTCGAATTATCAGATTTCACTGTTTTGCTTATTGGGTATTTCCATCTGGGTTTGTGTTTCTCAGGTCGAAAACGGGTGGAATGTGGGCTGAATCCACTTTGGAATTTCGGAGGCAGCAACTTCTAGAGTCCAGCAACTTCTAGAATCCAATCTATCTTTATACATACATAAGTACTTGTTCTTCTGTTGTTCTATTCTCAATTCCGGCTCAAAATGCTTAGTTTCAGCTCTTCATTTAATTGTCATGTCGGTGGGTTCAACACTTGGTTCAATTTGTACAGCATTTGAGTTGAGTATCCAATTTGTTGAATTGGGCTTGATTTTGGGACTTAATTTCTGTGTGAGGTTGTAAGATTGAATCCAGAAATAGAGGGAAAGGTTGAAAAGGAAAGAAACGGAATGGCTTCTGGGATGGAGATTGATGAGGACAATGAAACCAAAGGTAGCATGTGGGTTTTGGAGCAGAAGCTTGATCAACCCATGGATGAGGAGGCTGGAAGACTTAGAAATATGTACAGAGAAAAGGTAAGTTGTTCTTCTCTTCTTCTTTTGCTCTTGGATTAGTCTACTTTCTGTAGTTCTTTCTTTTTTCTTTAATTAATTAATGTTATGAAATTTAACTTTACTTTTTGTTCGGGTACAAAATATATATTTCTTGATCTTGATAGATGCTCTAAGTAAAGGTGATTTGATTGATGGCTAAGCAAATCCAACCTGAAGTTTCTAGTAAAAAAGGCTTTGAATTATTCTATTGTTTTGCCCGAGCTGATTTGGTTGTTTATGATCTGAGGATGACTAAAATAAAATCTTGGAGAGGAATGAATGATTGTCGCTATGTAAAAACTAGACCAGTTGATGATTGACGAATTGGTATTCTATGAGGTTTTTTTTTTTGATCAAAATATTCTATGAGGTTTAAATGTTTCTGTTATATGCATAAATGAGATGAACAAAATGAGCATAAAAGATCTGTTCTTTGTTCATGTTTTCTTTTTAAATTATAAACAAATTATTACTTTTCTTGACTAGTGAATTTGAATGTTGAGTGCTATTTTCTAAAAATAGTTTTGAGATGCAATTTTTACTAATGGTCAACCTAGCCTATTAAAACTAGGACATGGTAATGCTGTTGCAGTTGAGGATTCTGTTCTTATTTCATATGCTTAATTCCGTGTTGTTTCCTGCAGAAGTTCTCGGCACTATTGATTTTACGACTTGCATTTCAGAGCTTAGGAGTGGTCTATGGAGATTTGGGGACGTCTCCCTTGTATGTCTTTTACAATACTTTCCCTCATGGAATCGACAATTCAGAGGATGTTATTGGAGCTCTTTCCTTGATTATATACTCGCTTACGCTTATCCCACTCCTGAAGTATGTCTTTATAGTGTGTCGGGCTAATGACAATGGTCAAGGTAAGCTGATATTGAAGTATGATTGTAAGTTGGGTAGACTGATATCAAACACTTCTCTTTGAATACATATGACATAAAAACATGATATAGTCGTTATTGCCTATCTCCAATGGTACTTCTCACATTTTTCTGAAGCTGGAGAAATAGATTTCTTACAATAAGCTGATTTTTGTTACCTATGATGGAGGTACTTCGAGTATTTTTCCTCATTCCTCCACATGAAAGTCAGTTTAAATATGACCTAGTGGAGAGGCCATGCATGATGCATGTGCAAAGCATATCTTGTCCAAAGAGGGTGGGACTCAACATGGATGTGCAAATCATATAAATTGCTAAGTAATTAAAAGGAATTTAAATTGATCAACATGAGTTTTATAGAGAGATTTAGATGGATAAGGTTGAGCTCAAAGAAGTCCCTATTGTTCCAACATTTGAATTCTGGAAAAAATAGAAAAGGAAAGGTGTCAAAGAATTGTCCTGGCATTCCTTGCGTGTTCATTTGTCTCTCACTTGAGGCAGAGCATATTCTGGATGTGTTGTATGTGTGTGAATGTGTATGTAGGTGTTTGTTTATGCATGTCTCTGAGAGAGAGAGAGAGAGAGAGAGAGAGAGAGAGGTATGAGTTTGACTTGATGAAATTTGACAGTTTTTGCATTGTTATTAATTATTGTGCAAAGTCTGTGACAATCTTATTGTTAGGCATGTGGTTTAATATCCTGTGTGGACAATTCACGTGTTTCATTATGGCTGGGAACATTATACATACTTCCAAGAAAGAGTAAGTCCCTCATTATCTGTAGGTAGTTTTTGCAACAGCCATGTTATAATGTCGAATCCATTCAGCAGTGAGGTCCCTTTGTTGTCCCCTCATTTTCTGGAAAGTAGCACCGCATTACGTGCAAGTGCATACTGGATCTTAGAATTTCAACTTTGATGGAGGTCAGGCATGCCCTGAGTTGCTAATGGCGATTAAGCTAAAAGCAACATGTGAAAGCACACTTTGATATTTCCTTGAACCAAGTTTCTCAGAGGCCTTAAGGTAAAACACACGTGTCAAATCTTACAACAAGCAGTTACCAAAATTTCGCTGACAAACATAACAGGAAACAAGCTCTTTCATTTTGAAATGAAGAAGTTTCTTAGCTTTTTCTGTTAAGCTAGAATCCCAAAACCATACCAGCAGTTGATCTTATCCTTCAGCCAAATTGAATTATTTCTGCACATTCACAAGTGAAAAAGCTTGGACCTCAATAGGTCAACGGGGAAAGACTATTGTAGTGAGGTACTTGTGAATCTGCATGGCTGCAATTATTTGTTGACAATAATTTTAGTCACTCAGCTTCAAAATAATTATCTAGTACCAAATAGTCACAATAAGAAGATTATTCAAGTGGAATCATATAGTAGATGAATGTTTGGTAAAACAAGGAAAGATAGAATTAAGAACGGTTATATCCGTGAAATAGTGGAGGTTGCACATATAGGAGATGAATTAAGAGAGAATCGACTTAGGTTGTTTAGACATATATATAAATGACCTACTATGACACCTGGTTAGATAGACTGATATGATATCTACTGACCATTCCTTCCACTGCAGTATCTTAAGTATTGCCCATTCCTTCCACTGCCAGCAATGAGAAATGACAAAATGAATTTTATAAAGGTACTTGGAATGACTTTTAATGGATACAGTTAATCTATGGCCTACTAGGTGCGCAGATTTTGGGCCCAAAACATGAAAATTTAGGAACCGTTTTTCAGTCACAGTTCAGTGAACATTCAATGAAAATTTACAGCTTAAATACTCTTTATATTCCCTCTTCTTCCTTTATTCTTTTGAGAATTATTATTTTGACCAGTGAATGAACCAATATTTCCTGTATTTTGATCATAATTTCATGTAAGATGATTGAAACAGACAATTTACTTGCAAAGCCTCATTTTGCTGTTTCCTGATCACATCTGGGTTGATTTACAACATTTTTCTAATGCTTTTTTCTTCACTTCCTAGTGAATTTTCAGATATCCTGGTGAAGACTTGCAATTATTTGTCGATGACAATTTTAGTCACTCAGCTTCAAAATTCTTATCCAGTATCAAATAGTCACAATAAGAAGATCATTGGAGTGGAATCATAATGCCAGATTTTGGTGCACAATATATTCACCACATTCCTGTGATAACCTAAACTAGAACTATATGATCATTTTTGTATACAATATTCACCCGACAAGTACTTTTAATGCATGTAGTTAGCCGATATATGCTTTGCCATTGTAATGACAAAATATGCGTGTAACATTAACACAAAAGTAATGTCAAAATTACAATTGTTGAATGATTTGATTTAATTTAATAAAGTGGTGTTGACTCTCTTCTGCATGCTTCTCACGTGTACTGTCTTCTAATTCTCGGTGGATTTTATGATGACGAGGGCTGGACCGGCGTGTTTTTCGATCTTTGACTTGGTATTGACTTTGGTAGATTTGGTGAAGACAAGGACTTGATCAGCATGTTCCTCAATCTTTGATTTGGTAATGCTTTGGTAGATTTGTTGAAGACGAGAGTCGGATTGAAGTGGTTCTCGTTCTTCAATCTTTGATTTGGTGGATTTATTGAAGACGAGGGTCAAATTGATGTGGTTCTCGTTCTTCAATATTTGACTTGACTGTGTCGAATTTTCTCACCGTTCTTTGTGTTGAATGACTTGAAGATGATTTGGATCTCTTGAAGAAGGACATTGGCGGTGTTTCTTCTCCTTAGAGATGGATTTGCAAGACCTCAGGTGGGGGTAGACTTCGGCAGAGCTTCGTTGCTAATCTGCTCTTCTTCTCTTGAGATGGACTTGGGCAGAGCTTTCTTAATTTTTCTTCCGCCTTGGCTTCTCTTGCTCTTTCTTCTTAGTCTACTCCAGACTTCTATTTATAGTGGTGAGAGTAGTTATCCATATAAAGATAGTAGTTATCTATATAAGGGTATTTTTACCTGAATACCCTTATGTGGGTTTTAGTTAATAGGCTACCCATAAATTTGTGGGTGTTAGTTAATTTATGGAATTTAAGTCTAACCCACTTTGCCTTTTAGAAGTTTGTTTAATTTGAGCTTATGAAATTTAAGTTCATTTTAATTTAATTTAACAAGCTTGATTAATTACATTTGTCCTTGTATCATTTGGGCAGTGGAATTTAGGTCCAACTCAAACCTATTTAGTTTGTCTTATTTGGGCTTATGGAATTTAAGTCAAAGTCTAGTTTAATTTTAGAAGCTTGTTTAATTAATTTGGGCTCAAGTATAAACATTATTATTTGTTAATGTCTACCGCTACTACTCTACCAATTGAACAGATAATGAGGCTTCCATTTTTACTTCCGATTCCAGTTGAATTTCCTGTTTTCGTTGCAGATAGATTTGACAGCAGAAACAAGCAACTGGAGCTAAAACCTTGCAGTATCATGTNGATAATGAGGCTTCCATTTTTATTTTCGATTCCAGTTGAATTTCCTGTTTTCGTTGCTGATAGATTTGACAGCAGAAACAAGCAACTGGAGCTAAAACCTTGCAGTATCATGTATTGCCCCTTACCACCACTACTAGCTACAAAAAATAACAAAATGAGTTTTCAAAAGGTACTTCCACTTGTAATGAATGGCGTTAAATTATGGCTGCCAGATATCAAACAAATATGATAGGTGTTGGAAGCCCAAAATATTATTAATTTGGGAAACCTTTTTTAATCACAGTTCAGTGAACATTCCAGTGAGAACCTGTGTCTAAAAACTTTTTTTATGCCCTCTTTTTTCGTTTATTCTTCTTATAGTCTTTTTTCGGAAGGTGTTTATTTTTAGGGGTGCAACTTGGGTGGGTTGGATAATTAACCCTAGCCTAACCCTAGGTATTTAATCTTCAATCCTAACCCTACCTCGGTTTGGGAAACTCAACCCAAGCACTGCCCGAGCTTAGTTCGGGCGGGTTCGGGTTGATGATTTTGGACTGATTTCGGNCGGGTTGGGAAACTCAACCCAAGCACTGCCCGAGCTTAGTTCGGGCGGGTTCGGGTTGATGATTTTGGACTGATTTCGGGTTATTTTATGGGTTCAATTCGGATAGAGCTCAAAATAGGCTTGTTGTTTTAAACATAATACATATATTACATAATATTCACCTAAATTAATAACCAATAACTTCAACCAAGTTTTTAACGAGAGAGACTGAGAGAACGAGGGACAGAGAATGGTAGAAAAAAAATAAAAAACCAGTGCTAATGCTTTATATATATATATGTATATATATATATATAATTTTTTTTTAATTTGTTGGGTTCGGGTTGAACTCGGGTTCACGAGGCCTTAACCCGACCCCAACCCAAATTGAATTCGGATTAGAGTTTTTTGACCCAAGCCCAACCCAAATATTAAAAACCCTTGCTCAAGTCCTAATTTTTTCGGGTTGGGCTCAGGTTAAAATCGGGTTGCCCAACCCAAGTTGCACCCCTATTTATTCTTCTTATAGTTATTCTTATGTATAAGTGATTAATCGAGTATCTGCTCTATTTTGGTCTTAATTTCATGTAAGATCATTGAAATGGCTCTGTCGATGTTAATCTTTCTTCTACAGTCTCTTTTTACTAGTGCCTGATTACATTTGGGTTGCTTTAACAATATTATTGTGGTACTAATTTCTGCACATCCTAGTGAATTTTCAGATGTCTTGCATAAGTATGAATTACACCACCATCGTTACTTACGATTTCCAATATCTCTACAATATGTACTAGATAGTGGGAAATAGAACTAACCACTATTAGTTGGCTAAAATAGAACATGTACATGAAAAAGAAACTTTCACGTGGGTGGTACAGAATAGAGATCACTTTGGTATCAATTTTGCTGAAAAGAGAAAGACAACACGTGCCTCCAATAGTGTTTTTCAGTTAATAGCCAGAGTGTAGACCTCTAGTCTCTTTCATAATTAGAAGTAGTGCCTTGAGATGGAACTGGATAGGGCACTAGCTTTGTAGTATATAGGACCAGCTAATACTGGTGAGCTTGAAGGGGGGAGAAAGGCTTCCACATTGGGGATATAGAAATCATATTGATCTGTATTTCTGCTAGCAAAAGAAAGACAATGCATGTTTTCAATCATATTTTACATTCCAGAGCTTGGATAGATGCTTGCTAGTGTTATTGGTGATTGGAAGTAATGCTGTTGAGGTTGGTATTGCATTATATTGTTAGGTTATTCAGAAAAGAAGTGTAAAAGGGGGAAAAAACCTCCAAATGGTTGTGGCAGAAAGCTTGTTAATATTCTGTTTGGTAAGTTCTGCCAACTTTCCTCCAAATCTACCCCGTATGAAGAACCACTAAGAACTATAAAAAGAAAACCTCAAAAGTGCAAGTTTCTGTTTGTAGATTGAAGATTTCAATTTATCGCCACTAGAAATGAAGATGATACATGGAATTTCAGTTGAAGCATACCTTGATGCGATTTTGGGAGAACTATTTTCTAGATCCTAGTAATCCGTTTATGCTTGCAAACTGCATTATTTGGTCGCATGAATGATGTATTGTTTGTATTAGCTGTGAGAGACAACAGCTTGGAGGACAGTAAGTTTCAAGGAAGCGAAGGTGGATTGTGATCAAATCACTGAAAACAGAATCTGCTAGTTTGTGGGCGTATTTTTATTTCTGTTCAGGTGGTAACATTGTCTGTTCTTGCCAGTAGATATCTAGATTGTGAGGCTTCTGTAAAGAGTAGTTACCTTAGTTAGATTGTTTGGAGGAGATAAGAAGGTGCCACAATTTGGAAGGGGGAACCAGGAGGTATTTAATGAGTAAAGATACTAACATTATTTTTATAGGGTCTTTACAAAGAACGATCTGGAGAAGATGGATTCATCCAGCCAATACGNAAGGTGCCACAATTTGGAAGGGGGAACCAGGAGGTATTTAATGAGTAAAGATACTAATATTATTTTTATAGGGTCTTTACAAAGAACGATCTGGAGAAGATGGATTCATCCAGCCAATACGGGGTATGAAGACTGTGAGTTGACCAGGGTTATTAAGGGTGCTGCATTATCAGTTTCGAAGTATGAGCAGTTGAAATTCTGATTTGCAGTCAAGGATGGGTGTTGCATACTTGCATAATTATAAAGAATTCATCAGTGATTAACATATAAATTGGTTTACAAAGAGAGAGAGGAAAGTGGTTGAAGAATATGGTACAATTGCAAAAAACATGCACATAAACAGCAAATTGCCTTACTTCCACTAAAGTGCTGACTACTTGGAATGCCAGGTTTCACTCCCACTCCCTGTATGGTAACTTAAACTGATCAGGATTTCATAGAAGGGCTCCATTTCCATGACGCTTCATATAGATGAGTATTGAGTGTACAAACTTATGGTTGTAAATCTGTCAAGAGACTTTAATATAACAATTGAAACTCATATTCTAAAGCTTTTTTGATATATGAACAAGGTGACTACAGAAGAGTTGGCGAACATTGTTTTGACTCGTAGCTCTAAAATGTCTATTATGAATGAGCCGGCTTCAACACCACCTAGACTCTTAATTGTAGACAGGCTTGCGACCTCAACATAAAAGGATGAGCCTGGTCTGTTTATTTTTACGCATTGGCTAAATTCACTCCTAACCTCCCTAGACACCGCAAAGAACACATAATGAAAACTTCCTGGCAAGGCCTGTACAAGGGAATGAGAGAGGGGTTTGCTAAGAAAGAGTTTGCGAGTGTCCAGCTTTGTTAACAAACATCGAGTTTGAAGTGCTATACCAATAAAAATTGTTTCCGGAAAATTTTATACAATATGCTGTGGCTCATTCAATGCCCATTGTTTCAAAACTAAGAATCATTGAGGCGCAGATCGGTCGGAAAAGTTCCGCTGTCACATAATGCTGGATAGAGATATTGTACACAATTTCAAAAATGTACAGTAAGTGCTGCTACATGCATCTGAAGCTTTTTCTTCCTTTAGCCAACTGGTGTGGTTCATAAAGACTCTTTGTTGTACGCTACACAGTTTTCTTGAAAAGGCACTTCATCTATCGAAGTTACATAGGCAATCAGAGGCAAATAGTTGTTTGAACATCTTATATTTATAGTGATGTATGAGAAGTGTGAAAAAAACACTCCTGTGAGCGATGGTATAAAATCTGATATTGGGGACTCAAAATATGGGTTTAGGGGTCTGATTATGGTTATTCCAAAACTGAGAGGTTCTTAAATTTTTTATTAAATGCTCTTACCAGTTGTAGATGGCATGCATTAAAGGTCTTCAGATCTTATTCTGATTGCCAAAGAGTTGGGAAAAAAGGATATGGTTGGTTAGAGATCATGTGTTGGCAATTGCATATAATGGGGGTAGATAGTTGTTTATTACTAGGTCTTCTCTTAAGATTGAGATATCTCCTGTGCTTAGTGTTCCGTGATTCATAAAGAGTAGCTATTTTATCTGTGCTTGCTGATATTGATGTCTGCCGGACTTGTCATCTTTAATGTGCAGGTGGGACCTTTGCTCTTTATTCTCTGCTTTGTCGACATGCAAAAGTGAAAACAATTCCTAATCAACACAGGACTGATGAAGAGCTGACAACATATAGTCGTAGCACATTCCATGAGCATTCTTTTGCTGCGAAAACCAAGAGATGGTTGGAGGCACATGCATTCAAAAAGAATGCTCTTCTTATACTTGTCCTTGTTGGCACATGCATGGTGATTGGGGATGGAATTCTCACTCCTGCTGTATCAGGTACGTCGGTCACTACTCTGCCCGTCGGTCATTACTCTGTATGTTTTGCTTGTTTCTTTGTTTTTCTGTTGTTTCTCTCTCTCTCTCTCTCTCTCTCTTTTTCT